GCCGCCGAGATTCCGCTGGCACTACGACCCGCCCGGCAGCCCCGACCCGCCGGCCGTGGTGGTGGCGGCGCCGCGCTCGGCCACGCTGCCCTCCAACCTCAACCGCGAGTCCCGCCGCGCCAACACCTCCAAGTACATGCTCATCCGGAACAAGGCGGACGGCGGCGAGGGCGGGGGCGGCATCCTGGCCAAGATCCGCGGCGCCGTCGCGGCCCTCACCGCCACCTGCCTCCCCTTGAAGGCCACCTCGGGACAGAACTCCCTCCTCTCCCTCTACAACGCCCCGAAGGAGGGCGGGGAGCCGGAGCTGCGCCCCCCGCACGTGCGTGTGCAGGCGACGGAGCCGAAGGACTCCCCGGCGCTCTCGGGCCAGGTGCCGGAGCCCGCCGACGCCAACGGCAACCCGGGTGGCTTCGTCAATAACCCCCTGTCCGACCTGGCGTCCGACCCGGCGCTCGTCGGCTACTACTGCACCCTTCCCGACGACGACGACGACGCCCCCTACACGCCGCGCGCCGCCCTCCTGCCCGAGAGAACAAAGGCCACCGTAAACACGCCGGTCACGCCCGAGCTCGAGGCCTCCTACAGACAGATTCCCGACGGGGCCCCGGCGAGACTCTCGTCCGAAGGCCCCTCGACGGAGACCATCTCCTCGGCTTTCACGTCGCCCCTCTCGGCCTGCCTGCCCACGCCTGTGCCGACGCCCACGGCCTGCGAGATTGCAAGGCCCACCCTTGCAGAGAGCGTCCCTGCCATGCCCGCCGCCGCCCCGACCCCGCCGCCATCGCAGGCCCCGTCGCAGGAGGCCGCTTGCGTCCTGCGGCGTCCTCGGGAGAAGAACCCTTCGCCAGAACTGAGCGAGAAGGAGCGCGACCTTCTGGAGGAGTTTAACATCAACCTCGAACTCAGTGCGTCGGAGAAGCGTGAGGTGAGCTGCTTCTTCGGAAGTTTTAACGATATATTATTACTGTTTCAGCATAATTATTTATCATATTATCTGTTTTTAATCCAAAGCACCATATTTTTCGGTAACCTTTTTTTGTAAATTTTCCTTTGCCAATTCCTTATTCGTCGAGTCCTATATCTGTAGCTTGTGATTTTTCCTTTAGAGCAAAGTATCTGAACAAATGACCTTTATTTTTTCACAAATAAGTAACGTAAAAATATACAGATATTTGAAAAAACAGTTTTCCCAAACCACACTACTCCTCACCCACTCCTTTCCTCCAACGCAAATAACCCACATTCCTTTTTCCAAACCATACAAATCGTCAAAATCCATATAGAAGTCTTTCCCCCTTTTCCACCTTTCCGTTTCACCTTATCCTTAACGAAACAGCAACTTCTTTATTCTCACCCAAATATTCTCTCTTTCAGAGCAATATTCCAAAAACCGGTTTCGACTTCCTGGACAACTGGTAAAATGGCGAGGGCGGGAGAAAAAAAAATGGCGCTGGCCAGGGAGGATGCACTCGACACACATGATGACACTCGTGCCCTACTAAACTCTTCAGCACTGTATTTAGATTATATATCCTAATAATACGTCTTGTGCTCGGTGTGTGTGTGTGTGTGTGTGTGTGTGTGTGTGTGTGTGTGTGTGTGTGTGTGTGTGTGTGTGTGTGTGTGTGTGTGTGTGTGTGTGTGTGTGTGTGTGTGTGTGACAATATCCAAAGGAAAACGAGACACGAAATCAAAATGCACTGCGTGTGTTCGTCAGGATTTTGATTGGTTTACCTGATACAGATAAAACATGTAAACTGGACTAAATGTAAAAAAAAAAGACCCTAATGCTCATAAAGTGCCCAATTAATGACCAGGCATTAAACATTGGACCACTTTTTTATACTCATTAAACTAAGATTTGTAAAAGGAATTTTTTACCCCAAGGTTATGACTAGAAATATTGAAATTTGCTCACATAAGTTGTAAGAGTAAACTCACTTCAGTCCCAAGCCGAAGGGAAACCGAAACGAATTTTGCCTTTAATAATCTTTAAAAAATGGAGGAACATTTGCATTACTCGTAGGTTTGCAAGCATAAGAATGCATCACATGTTATAAATTTTCACTTTCTGTTTTGTTGTAAGTGGTGCTAAAAGTGGAGATCCTTGCCTTGCACATCTTGTGGAACGCGTGAATGTGAAATATTACAGGACAGAAGGAATTGTTTTTTATTGGCCATCGAGACCCTAGTATTTGTGTATGTCTGTGTGCATGTGTGTGTTCCTTACTGTAGCTGTATATCTTTTGTACACGATGCAGGAAGTAGAACTGTGCAGTTAGGTACTTTATAATATAATAACAATAAAACCAATAATCACTGGAAATACATTCTCACTCATACACGAAATTTTGTTTGTTTGTTTGTTTGTTTTGTTTCATCCTTTGCAGCTATGGTTTTGCAACTCGTACCATTACAGTACCATACTCTCAAAATATATGTAGGAAAATGTTGTATTTGTACCGATTATAGGTAAGGAATAAAACCCATAAAGAGCTTTGATTTTTTTATACTCTGACTACAGAATGAGAGTTTCTTAATTATGTTACACAGTTTTTTATTAATGTTCCTAAGTAATTTGGAAACAAAAATACAACCTCACCACAAAATAAATATCCAAATTCTTAACATATTAGGAGCCCAGGTAACTGTCCAACCAACTCTTACAAGCGCTTTACTTGTTCTATGTTATTTCAGGTATTATCTTGGGAGTCTCAATTCAATTATGGCAAATATGTATACGTTACTGGAGAAAAAAATAACACCAGTTTTCTTCAGCGGTAGATCCAAAATGTTTCAGCAAGGAATAGAAGGGAAATGTGAAGTGAAAGTCAAGTATTGAAAAAGACCATACTATTTTCCAAGCATTTAGGAGCAAAGTGTGGACCTCATTGTTTCTGTAATAATAATAATAATAATAATAATAATAATCATCATCATAATAATAATAATAACAATAATAATAATAATGATGATATAAAAAAACATCAAATGTATATGGCCATGGAAATGTACTGGATATTGCAAGCATATATAATTCTCTCAGATATTTTATTCCCATTTACGCTGTTGCCTAAATTATTCACGTTTTTTTGTTTTATAAAGTCTGTATTACTTTGGTTTACAAGAATAATTTACCCTGGATTTGCCACTGCAGTTCCGAAAATATGAACGTTATCAAAGGTCTGGAAGAAAAGTCCCATCAAATAATCCAATTCCTATGGCATGAAAAAGTATATTGGTTTACTGGTGTTTTGAGTCAATAGTATAAGCCCCAAGAAACATTCACATTCAATCGATGATTCTGGCGAGTTTTTTGAGCGTTAACAAAATCAATATCTAAAGGGGAAAAAATGAAATAAAAGGTGGGTTTTGGCTTATCAGAGTTGCTTATTAAAAGATGTCCTTTATTTATTTGATTCTGTCTGATGCATCTATCTTTATAAATAAATACATAACTGAATTAATACACACACACATTCATATATATATGTATTTTTATAATTTAAATATATATATATATATATATATATATATATATATATATATATATATATATATATATATATATATATATATATATATATATATATATATATATGTTTGTGTATGTATAGACAGGGGGCCCACATATAAATAAGATAAAGTAAAGGAAAAAAATTAATACATTTTGAAATTGAATTACATAATTATTGATTTTGCCACAAAAAATGATGACTATGGCCTTTAGACAGAAGAGGTGGGCTCTCCTGTCTAAAGAAAAAAAAATCCTTATTTAGTATTTTATAATTCTATATGAAAGCAAAAAAATATAAGGGACCCTCAAGGAAAGCCTCACCCCCCAATGTTTAGTTACACTCTTGTATCTATATTTTTAACACACACACACACACACACACACACACACACACACACACACACACACACACACACACACACACACACACACACACACACACACACACACACACACACACACACAAAATATATACACTTTTACTCCATTTTTCCATAGTTGTTACAATATCAATGGATGTTTTATTTCAGTTGTGATGTGCAGTGCATTATAACAAGTATATGACTATAATCTTTTTGCACAATATTACATCTTAATAAATAATACCAGAGATTTCTCTTCTGAACAAAGGGAACCTCATCTTCCATCATAAAAAATCAAAAGACTTTTCAAAAACGACAAAAACAAAAAATATTCCATTTATCTGTGAAAACACAAATTTCACCAGGGCCCTCAATTTACAGTAGTGTTCAGTTTTATTCAAATAAATTACCAAAGGTGTTATATAATATCGTATACATGTACCTGTTCTGCAAGTCATATTATCCCTATGATAAGGGTACAGGTTTCTTGAATTTAGAAATTGTTCTGTAGTTCTTATACCAAAATAATAAGGCTACATGTTCCTTGTATCTCGAAAAATTGTTCTTAATGTATCAAGAAGTCATTTGCCATTGATGTCAGGTACTGCTCAGGGTAATATTTGTATGGTCATTTGCACAGTCTAGATTACTAGAGATAAAAAATATATAATTTCTGGAAAGCTTTTTTTTATCAAAATAGGTTAAGAATACAATAAAGTGATAATAATGTTAATGATCAACTAAACTGTGCTATACAATGAGGTTCTACAGTAGTAGCAAAAATTCACTTATATTTCTTTGTTTTCTTTTTTATATATACTTGGTGCCATTGAAGAGATGTGCAATAAAGCCTCTTTTTGTTTACAATGTAAATCCATTCATTTTCAAAATTTCATTGTCACAATAATAACCAGTTCCTTAAATTTATGTGGTTTTCTATATGAATGTCTTTCATCTAAAAAAAAAAAATCCCATAAAAGGAAGCCCTATCATTAGAGAAATTCTTACCCTAGTTTACCCCCATTCTCAACATACTCATTTTATCCTGTCTTAGAAAAGCAGTTTCAGTGGTGTCCTTACATACATGCACCAAAATAAAGTTCAAGTGTTAAACATGCCCAAACACTTGTACTTCGAAAACATGATGCATAAAAAATAATCCCGGTGTTTTAGTCTTGTTCCTATGGTAATGGAGATTTCCAATGTGCAATTGTTTTGTCACTGAATATGTGTCTCCACTCTAGTTGAATAAAGATATCTGCAAGTATCTCTTTTCATTGCTCTCTATCTTAATCTGTAGTACTGGTAGCTTACAAATCTATGGTATACATGTTCTGCTATCATTTATAATTAATACTTTATCACAAACACTGATAAATGAAGAGGCAAGCAAAATAATCATATACTCATGTCCTCTACTGCTAACCAATGGAAATACACTGATATTGCTGAATATATACACAGTGTGTGGAAAGGCTAATATGGAAGATACAAACATTAATATAGTGATGTAATGACCAGTGTTTTATGGAAATATATTTATCCACTTCAAAATGTGCCTCTGTGGTTTTCCAAATATTCCTTTAGTAGCTCTAAATCCATATGTTCCCTCTAAGAACTTCAAAGCCACAGCACATGAACTTGCTAAATCAATACATAATCTATGGCTAGTGAAAGTTTTTGTTTTGCGAGTCCTTAGAACAGTGGCATCAATTCAGGACCATCATTACAACCTAAGACATTAAAAAGGGATAAATGCAAATAAGGAAACAAAGCAGTAAAATATATTTAACCTTTTATTTCTTTATATAGACAGGTTTATTACAAAACCAATTATCAAACCAAGCAGCTACCATAAGTAGCTTATATTCAGCTATACTGCAAGTTTATACTACGCGTTTAAAACATGCTAAAAAGTATATTTGTCAATAAAATACAACCTTCATGTGAGTGATGTCACCACATCACAGGCAACACTTGAATCCCTCTGGCAATTACTCTATACTGCCCCCAGGAATGCAATGATCATTAGATTGAGTATAAGATAAAGATCCATAACAAATATAAAAAAAAAAGAAAAAGAAAAAATAAAGACACCACTAAACAGGTGGCCAACGTGAAGAAACATTTAAAGATGGGTTAATCAAATCATTACATCTTGTCTTGCTTTGTATTCTGTCTATCAACTTTCATTTCTTGTCTGGATGGAATAGTGTTACAATGACTACAGAACTTAGTTTCAACATTGGAGAATACTATTAGGCATACTATTCAGCATACAAAAAAAAAAAAAAATCAACAACAAGGTTTTAGTGCAAGGAGGTCTTTGGAAAGAATTCTAAACATTTTTAAAAGGACCATCAAAAGAAGAGAATATCATGATGTAAAGACCATTTGTTTGTATTGTGAGCAGTTTCCAAGTAAAATAGTTATATTATTTACTTGTTACCTAATGAAGCATGTGACTGATGGAATAATAAAAGGAAATACTTGTTACACTAAAATCATGCAGGGTAATACCAAAAAGAAAACGTAACTTGCCACAAGAGGCAGTAAATAACTCTGGTATTTTCAAAAATGTTATTTGCTAATTCTCATGGATCACATTACCACAATACTTTAAACATATGTAACTAGTCTTATTCTTACATGGCTATCACATCATGCATGAATGTGGACCCAAGAGAGTCTTGATTTGAATGGGAAAGCATTAAATAACTGAGAAAACTGATAAAATAATCCTTGGAAAATAACAATAATCTTAAAGGAAATCTGAAAAGATGTGGTGTTTTTATGTTTTTTGCCTTATACATTCTACATATAAAATGTACTGACTTTTCACACTTTTCACCTTTTGAGGATGTGTAAAATAAGGACTTATTTTATACCAAATCAATGTCTCAGAGTACAAAATTCATTTATTTGCATTTGTGTGTGTGAGGTGGGAGCTTATGTCTACACGTTTTTGAGTGTATGTGTACACATATGTTTATGCATGTACAAATGCAAGTTTATTATAAATAAATACATATATCTATATGTGCAACTTGTGTGATGATACGTCATTGTTATTCTAGATTTCTGGTCTCCATCTCTGCCATTCTGATTAAGATAATAAAATAGAACAGGAATACATTTCTGAAAATGTCTGAACTCTTTCACATTATTATGCACAATAACTCCCACACCAACAAATGGGAGTCCTGAAAAACTAAGCTTGTATTTATATGTACCAGCTTCTCTCAATTTCGAAAACACAATTTCAAATTCGACTTTCCTCCTTCACTTCATCACTTGTAGAGGTGGACTAGACATTTCTATGAAGGAATCATAATCATAATTAGACTATTATTAACTATGTTTCACTCATTAACTATGCCAGACCAAACTTGGTAGTACCATTACATGATCTTCATTTCTTCACACCCACCAGTTGTTTTACAACTTCATGACCACAAATCAACAATAAATATTTATACCTAGTTCCCAAGTTTAGTGTTTAAATTAGCCTCCACAGAATCTCTTATTACAAAGAAAAGAAAAAAAAAGGAAGATAAGTGATATAAATCTGGCATTGAAGACAGACTACTGAACCCACTGCTGCTTGAAAATGAGTTC